ATTCACTTAAGGATTAGTAAAGTGAATTTTCCATACACTTATAAAGCCAAATTAGACGTTAAGTATTGAGAGTAATGAAATATTTATACTTTATACTTTTTTAAATTTGTATTAAAAAAAAGTAATTTATATACGTGTATATTAGTAACCTATTAAATCCAATGGTAATTTGACCATGAGACAACTAAATAAACCACGAGATATTAACAAAATCCCGAAGGCAAAAAAGAGGGGTTTTTTTTCCATCTTAAACGTAAAAAAAAATAACTTCCGACTTTTACCTAAATCCTCCCTCAAGTTCTAGAAGTAATTAAATCCTAAGCCAACAGGTGAGATAAATCCCCCCCCCCTCTACCCCCGATAGTGCCCAACTTAAATCCGGAATGACGTTAATGGGATTTTATTTGGACATGATAGCGCGCTGGTAAATCCCTGGTTACCGTAACACTTAATTGTAGCTTAGGGGAAAAATCCACACACGGTAGGATTTATCTACTTGTAATGGGGGATTAATTGTAGTGTTACTTAAGGAATTTTTTAGTGGTAGTAGTGGTGGTGGTGATTGTGGTGGTGATAGTAGTAGTAGTAGTAGTAGTAGTAGCACTAATATTTCCCCAACTATTACTATTACCAGTATTACGTCATTATAACTAATTAATTATCATCACATCGTGGGTTTAATTATACCTCACTTACATCATCATATTCCACAATGTTAACCTTTATAATGTTACCTTAATATATACCGTATAATGCCTATAATTCATCGTCATTATTATTAGTAGTACGGTAATTAGTAATGTTATAATTAAGGCATTTTGATGATGATGATGATTATTATTATTATTATTATTATTAGCGCGAAAATATGGACCTTGCTGCATTAAGTACGGTAGCAAATTATTAGTATTATTATTATGATTATATTTACCCGTATATAGTAATTGTTATTATTATTGAATATCATCGCCGTCATTATCATTATTATTAGGAACTTATAGCTTGACATTTAATCATCATCATCATCATCATCGTCATTATTATTATCATTATTACGAATTAATGAAAGACATCATTATACCTTGACATATACGGCACAATATATACACACAGTATGTCACTAAAGTATAATTAGCATCAAATTTTACTACAAATATATGATGCTGGTGTCATTAAATCATTATTATTATTATCATTACGGATTCATTAGGTTAGTATTAAATAAACTGAATATAAAGAGTCACCTAATTTACATACAGAAGTCAGTGTCTTTTTGGCTGAGAGATTAGTATTATTTTTGTCGTAGATCTTAGAGAAATTATATCCATTTGGCTTAAACTAGAAACAATGTTATTTTCTATCTGTTGGCTTATAGAAGGAATGGAGTGAGGTTAGACCGCTGGGACCATTGAAGCAGCCATACGAATTTGAACCACTAAGATGTGTGTGTGTGTCTGTGTGTGTCTGTGTGTCTGTGTGTGTGTGTGTGTGTGTCAGATGCTTGATTAAATAAGATTGGTTGGGTTAGGTTAGGTTTGGTTGGGTAGGTGGGTGGGTAGGATTTGTTTGGATAGGATTTATTGGCCGGTTAGGATTCGCCAGAGATGGGATTTGCTGGATATTTAGGATTCATTTAGAATAAGATTTCATGCAAGCTTTGGGTATATTTAGTCGGCTAGGATTTATTGGGTGACTAGGATTATCGGGAGGCTATATGTTAGGAGGTAGGATTTGTTGGATAGTTTCGCCTTTTAGGGTTGTTTAGATTTTAATGGCTAGGATTTGTTGGGTAGGAGGGTAGGATTTGCTGAGCGGCTAAGATTTCCTGGGTAGCTAAGCCTTTAGGGCAGCCAGGATATTCTAGAGACTGGATTTAATGAATAGCTAGGATTTACTGGAAGGCTAGGATAGGATTTTTAAGTAGTCAGGATTTTCTCAGTAACTAGGATTGTTTAAGCACCTACGATTTAAGTAACTTTCATGACACTTAGGATTCTTTAAGTGTATAACTAGGATTAGCCTGGAATGAGGATTTGCTAGGATTGGGGATTTACCGAGAGGGGGGATTTGTTTTACATATGCCTGTGTTGAAGGATTTGTTGGCAATTAGTCGGATCGGTAAACCTAACTTAAACCACCAGCAACTTAACTTGTAAAACCGGCAACTTAACTTAAACCACCGGCAACTTAACTTATAAACCCGAGAACTTAACTTACAAAACCGGGATCTTGATTTAAAATACCGGCAACTTAACTGAGTCACAACACCGGCAATGTAACCCATAAAGCCGACATCCTAACTTACAACACTGGCCGGCAACTTAACCTACAACACCGGCGTTAATTACCACAGTGACGGCGGCGGAAATTCCATCACCGGTAACATAACTGAACATCACCGGCAGCAAAACGAATTTGGTCCCGGATACGGTAACACATTCTTTTACCGGACTTATTAAAGCATCCGGTTTTGGGTAACTTTCTTTTAGTCGGAGGCATTTAAGCGTTTACCGGTTCTAAATCCCTCAATTCGATATATCGCGTGTATGTGTGTGTGTATGTGTGTGTGTATGTGTGTGTGTATGTGTGTGTGTGTGTGTGTGTGTCCGGATTTGTCTGTACCTTTAATTGGTTACAAGTTTTCAGTTATTGGTATTATGTATTTTTTTGTTTATCCGGAACTTGTTGATATGTACGGTTTACAGTGATCTTATTTCTTATCCGGACTACTGTATGGGTGAACGTGATGGGTTGAAGCAGTAACAGATAGTGCATCCAATGTTTGACTCACAACACACACACACACACACATACACACACTAAGGAAATACTAAACACAAAGATTAAAATTAAAACAAACATTAACATAATTGTAGTAATTTTAACTTAACTAAAAAGAGGATTAGGAAAAGACTAAGAGAGACCCCCACTCATAAACTACAGCGTACAATAACGAAGGATTTTAAACGGAAGAAACAAAATAAACAATAATAATATCAGAGTATGGAAGTAAATGAAGAAAGATGATAATAAGATGAAAAATAATAAGAAATACCGAATAAAGGAGAATTTATAGCTGGATGGAGATGATAAAGAATTGATAATAATTAGATGAGTAAATGACAAACTAGAATCAGATGGGAACTAATCTGAGCCGAACAAGACCAAACAACATACCAACGTAATGAGGTGGTTAGCATACCACATCAACATACCCATGAGGAGGTCTTGTGTATATTTAACCCAACATACCACAAAGTATAGAGGCAAACGAGACAGTCAACATACCACACAAATATACCAAAGAGAACAGGTTATAGAATAGGGCAGTATATCACGACAAACTACATCAATATACCTCTAGTATAATGAAGTGGACAACATACTCCAGCCAACTAGCACAACATACCCAATAACACACCCCCTACATACCACATGCCCAGGAGTATCATCAATAACGCCACAGTCATCAAACAACTTGTAGATGAAGAAAAATTTACATAATACTACCAGTTATATTATGTACTGCGTTTCTCATCTGTATAAATGTGTCTGTAAGAGTGTGTAAATTGTGCCGGTAAATTGCTAAAATAGCTCAATTAAACATATAAATAATGAATACAAATCACAAAAGTCATCAGTATCACCCCTGCTCCTGCGCCGTCAACACACACAGTACTGCAGTAGCCCTAAGCCTATACCTGCACTTTTAACCCACAATTTAATCACATCTACAAAAGACTTATTCCACCATTTTTCTCTTTCTCTGTGTAATCAGATTCCCCTCACAGCACTCGTCTAGGTCAGAATTGCGATACTTTGTGATATAATAAATTCAGAACGCGGTCTCCTGTGTATTAAAGGATATGCAAATTACTGTTAGCCCTGAAGCTGCCCCTACACGTTGTACTAAAAGGTTTCCGTAACACAACACAGCCTCCCTCCCTCCCCCTCTCCCTCCTCTTTCGGCTCACTTGATGAGTTCTAGAACAAACCCGAAGTTTCCCATTAATGCGACAAATTCACCATCTGTCTGTGTGACCAAAGTTCCTCAAAATTCAAACTCTGTACAAACTCCAACATCGATCGACAAACGGAAAGAATTCATTGAGACAGTGAGTCGTAGAGGATGGTATTTATTCCCCGTCAGCGTGCGGCCAGAAGCTCCCCCTTACATCAGGCTCCCGGATCCCCTGTAACCTGTCAATAGGTTTCTAAACTCCGGGTAAAATGAGCGGCAGTGTAGAGGCAGCCAGCGACCATCGGGCCAGATGTTTCAGCAACGCCTTCTAGTACTTGTGCCTCGATGGGAAATGTTTTTTCAAAAATAAATGTTTGCACAACCTTGACCTATAGGTAAGCCTCTCGACAACTTAATATATCAATGATTGTAATTCCTATTTGTTGTGGTTAGTGACGTGTGTTGGTGTGACGAGAGCATTAAACCTGGAGGAGTGGGACGGCCCGGGGAGCCACCTGATGATGGGATGTTGTCTAACGCCGGGTGACGCTTGTGTCGGCTCACGTGATCCCTGACAACCATCATTGTCGCGACCTGTTCACTGGACCCATAAATCCAAGCGGCTGACGTCCCGTTGTCTCGCCTGACGGAAGGTCCCTCAGGGCCCAGGGCCGCCTCATCTACTACACTTCCCCTCGTCTCTCCACGCTAAATTGCCATTCTCAACCGTCAACCCTAAAGTGATGCCCTAAACTGTCTACCCAGAAGTGGTGCCCTAAACTGTCTACCCAGAAGTGGTGCCCTAAACTGTCTAGCCTAAAGTGCTGTTCATTAAACCTTTACCCTGCTCTACTGCCCTCAACTGTCTCCTGAAGTATGCCCCTCATCCACTCACCCCACAGGTACTATCCTCGCCGTGTACCGTAAAGTAACTGCAGTACCGTTCTTGCTACACTGTTACCCCCCTCTGCTACTGTTCCTCACTCGTGAATTATGAAGTTCTACCACTAATGAACCCAGACGCGTCTTCTCCACTCACCTCTGCCAGATCTCCCGACGAAGCGGAGGTCGTTGAACTTGGCCACCTGGTTCTTCATAACGGCAGAGTTGTTGCGTAGTTCACCGCAGAAGTTCTCGTCGTTGCCAGCGCGGATGGTGACGATGGTGCCGTCCTTCACATCGTCCAGGGCCACCACCTTGAACGACATGGGCAGCGACTTGTTGGATCGCCAGTGGTTGGGCAGCGCCGTGCACAGGATGTTGGGCGCCCCGGTCTTCATCAGTTCGCCAGGGTGCTCGCTCCCGCCGTTCATCCCGCCCATGCCGCCCACCTCCGTCGCCATGTCCCCTGCGCTGCGCCACGCCACCGTCATCAGGGCGCGCGGGTCGGCGGCGCCTGCATGGGGAGCCACGGCGCCGGCGATACAAACCTGCCTGGCCGCTACTCACTACACGCACTGTCTCGTGCCTTTACGTGCTCTCGCTTGCACGTACACACGTCTTCCGTATGTCTACACTGACCTCCAGCGGCGGCACGCAGCAGGCGACGCCCGCCCGACGCCACTAGCGACGGCGGCGACCGACCTCTTGCGGCAGTCAGTGTGTGCTTGGCGGTGATCCTTACATAATAGAGGCGGGTAACACTATTACCCCGCTCGTTGGTGAAGACTGTTAGTGATTAACGCTCTCACAAATATCCTCGACAGATGCTTTCTCTATGATGTTCGTTGGTTATCACAAGGTTTCAATCAGTCCCAAAAATGTGTGTTCGCCGGAAGCGTCGGCGTCGATGACGGCCGGGGTGCTGCTGTCTCGATGACTGGAGTAGTGTTGGTCACGGTGATGACTGAGTACTGTCAGTGATGTCACAAGAGGCGGCGTCCCCCGCTAGTGATGTCTCTCACCCTGGTGGACATTAACGTCCGCCTGAGTCACCACACTGCTACTCCAAGTAAGGTCAAACTTGACGTGGACAAATATAAGAAAACTTTGCAATACTCAGCTCTTAGTGTTGCAGGCCACATACAATGTTTGTCTCGGGTAATTAGTTAGTAATATCCCAAGGTGTGTCACGTGATCCAGTAACGATATGAATTATTTATTTCATTCCTTCAGTAGGTGGTGGAGGGGAGGGTCACTACACGTGGTACAGTACAGTACAGTATAAAGGGTCACGTCAGTTTCCTTAAAATTTTCCTCCAATTTATCACTGGTGAAGGCACTTGAGCCGTGTATTGGGGCGTTATGCGTCACTGAACTATTACAAAAACAAATTATTTCTGTTGATAAATAAGGAAGGTGTATCAGTCAGTTTCTATTAAGGAACCAAAAATCACAGTCTTTTGGTTGATAACAATTTACAAGAATTCCTTTCACCACTAAAAAGTCATTTCTCTTTTCAGAAATTCTTGCACTGTTCTTTCTTTTTTCATCCGTTAATCCCAAACTAATGACAACACACTGTTTAAAATCTTGCCGTGTAAATAAATATATATATATATAAAGATGTATACATATATATATTATGTCGGGGTTGACGGCCGACACTGTACACACAACACGCGCACACACACTGGTGGAGGAGGCTGGGAGGGGTGGTGGTGGTGTGGTGGTGCGGGTGTGGCAGGTCTGGTCAGTGTGGCGAGGTGAGGATGACTGACTGGCTGGGTGACGGTCCGGGAGTTCTGGCCCGCCGAGGACTACCCGCCTCCCAACGGCCAACCGCGCGGTGAACCCAAAACTCGTCCGAACACCTGCACACTCTCCGACACCTTGTTATATTTTTTTCGGCGTCCACTCATCGAGTTCTCGGATCCCTCTATCGCTACGGACGGGATTCCAAGTGTTTTAGATCTTGTATTATTGGCCGTGTGACGTGGTGTGATCTAGAATATACTAGCATGAAAAGTAAAAACAGAAAAAAATGCATTTTTGTCTGTCGCCGACTTCGCACGCCGGCCCGGAGACGCGATTGACTCTATCATTACCAGCGGCGGCTCGGAGCCAGCGCTTCCACCCGACGCGTCACCCAACCAACCTCTGTGTCCCTAAGAATGTATCTACTCTTTATTAAGGAAAAAAAATTATGTGCATACGGAAATTCCTATCACATTTCAAAAATAAAGATGACCTCACACAGTGGTGGAAGCCTGGGTGAATTTGTTTTTGTTTTAGTGCAGGAATTAGTGAGAGCGAGAAGCAGGGGCGTGAAGGAGTATCTGGCATCTGTGTAAACCACTAGTCGGCCAATCAGGCAACCGCTACACACCTCAAACTCCGCCCACCAGAGAGGAACCCAGGAAAAGAAAGACATTAAATATTTACAAGGATTTTTGACTTCACTCTTTGATTTCTGAATGGAAAATTGAGCTTGTAAGCGTTCCAAAAGCTTATATGAAGACTCCGTGTGTTCTTTTTCAGCTGAACCATTTCGTAGAGTAAATTAATAAGAATATTGGGGTTTATGTGTAGTGTAGGAGCGAGCGGGAGGAGGAAGAGGGAGAGGAGGAGGACGGGAGGAAGATTGCTGTGTTTCTGTG